CTTGTAGTTTTGATGGTTGATAGTTCTCTTAAAAATCTGTTTTTTAAAGAGAGCTGCACCTTTTCATAAAAATGAAGAGGAGATCATGCAAGGGAAATGGAAATAAAATAAATATATATTTCAGTATTTGAAAGAAATTGGGTACCATGGTAATATCTGCATGCAGAAGTTTTAGAAGTAAAAAATGGTGTGCACCTGCAAATGTTTAAAGACATGGACAAACATTAAAATAGTTTTATTGTCGATATTGTTTCTTTTCCTTAAATGAGCATGGCTGTTATAACTGGAGTAAGTTAGAAGTGGAGCCTTCTGGGCTTTTATAACAGTATGTAAACATTTTGAAGGGATCTTAGGCCCATTTCTTGTCTGGATATTGTCTCTGGTAACATTTAAAACCCATTTAAAGTAGATGTTACATGTACTGTATCCACTCTTTGGTTAAATCAGCACGTGGTTGGGTGTGTGTGTATGATATAAAGCAGTAAAAACTTGAACATGTTTGGTGGAGCTCTATTTGCCTTGGCATGATTTAACAGTTTTGATGAAGTTTCCTAACAAATCTGTGCCTTTTGGGGGTGTGCCAAAGGATTAAGGAAATACCTTCACTTACATCGGTTTTAAAAAATGTCAGATGGGATGACCCTTTTAACTTCAGGTCTAACTTTCATCCCAGACAAAATGAAAAAATAATTAAAGGTAAGCTTGATTATCTGAAAGCTCACCTTTTTCCCCCAAACATTAATTGGTCTAATGAAATGTACTAGCACTGCCTGCAGATCAAGACTGTTGTAATTTATACCATTTAGCATAGCTTATGGGAGCTTGGATCTAGTCAACAAATGTGATATAGTGTTTTGATGAAATGAGAAGCATTTGGTAAAAGAACTAAGGTAAATGTACTAGTTTGGATTTTTTTTTTTAAGTATACCTCTAGACCGTGCTCACACCTCACATCCTCACTTTTATGTAGTGACAGTCGCTAGTGCAGCATTTCTCAATTAAAGAAAAGTGTCATATAAGAATTGAAAGCAATGGAAATTTGAGACTGGTGTGGTGTAGTGTAGAAGTCCTAAGAAAAAGTTTATTTTCGTTAATGATTTGCCTGATTTGTGACGAAACTTCCACAGAGAGGGAAATTGGTTTAATGAAAACTTAAACCTCAAGAAGTTTCAGAGTTAACTTACTATCAACAGCAGTGCATCATGAATGCCAAGGCCAATGGAGTTCTGTCCACAATTAAGACGTGACCCTAATTCTGGATTGTGTTACTATAGCTAATGGGAGAAGAAGAATGAGACCCTCTAATTCTCAAACAAACAAAAAAGCTTAAAGAAATAGTAATTTTAAGCTGGCACCAGTGTCATAACTGGTACTACTCTCTAATTTCTTTATTAGAAAATATTAGAATATACTCAAAGTTTCCAGAAAACACATTGTCAGACCTTAAAATCGTCAAGTTTACAAATACATAAAATATGTTTAGTTCTAGTTGGACTAAAGTATTCCACTTCCCAGTCACCTGGAAAAAAAGAAATCGAATTTTGATGGGGTAAGGTTAAAGAAGGGAAGTTAAATAAAGTCTTTATTCTTAATGTATTAAAAAGTTTTGAAATTTAGAATAATATGTAATTTAAAATAGTCTCCTTGGTCTTATAAGCAGGAAAAAATTACTGGAGTGACTTGTGCAAGCAATGAAATATATTGTAGTGGTCTCCAACATGGTAAGGAAAAACCTGTGGTCATCTCTTTTGAAGCAAGCTTTGTATAGCACCTTCATGGCTGCATTCCACTGATCATAACAGCAGTCGGTTTTAGCTGTATGATGTTGTCTGTGGAACTGACAGGTTGCTGTAGGAATGTAGACACTAGAGAAGGTTGAGTTTTGTGTGCCAGGTAGGTTTGTTATTACTACAAAACACAGTATAACTGTATCTTTTGCTTATAACTTTGTCTGTGGATAAGAAGCCAATAAATAGGGGTCATACATGGAATTTATTCTTCCACCCATTTTATCCAACTGTATTACAGCCCTTTAGAGTCATGATTCTGAATTCAGCAAGTTAGGTAGGACTAGGTAACAGCATGCTTTGTCATGTGTTAAATAATTGCTACCTGGATAGCTATTAAAAGTCAATAACATGAAGAACATAAAAGCATGATTATTTCAGGTTTGTCCTTGAAATGTGGATCAAAGTTTATGTTCATTGTATAAATGAGTCATTGCAAGAATGAAGAGAGGACTAAAGGGTATTTCTACTTTCTGTTAATTGTTTGTGGAGGTTAAGTAAAATTACTATATAAAGATTTTTTGAATCGAATATTAGGTTTGTCAGCTGGGGAGAAGGAAATAAAAATAAGGAGTAGGTAAATAAATCCTTTTAGTGTTTCAGTCCATGAAGAAGAGATGGAAAAAAGTACCCTCTACAGAGTTTCCGTAATAATACTAGTGGCCAAATTTTCTTATTGTGTCTTGGATGATTTTTCATAGGTTTTTACCTTTGAAATATGTTTATTTAAATCAACACGGCATCTTCTTGTAAGTCTTTATTTGGTGAGTTTTTTAGATTAGGAGAGAAAAGTTCTTTTGTGTGTCCAGAAAATGCTTAAATGCTTTCTGAGTATAGTCTCTGTTTTTTAACCTTTGAACTCTGTTCCTTGCCCATCAACAGAAACATAATGTCTGTGAATGTGTATTTCTCTCCCTGCAATTGCACATATCCCTGCTTGAAGCAGGCAAGATTTTTTGAACATCTTGTTTACAATATATATACACACAAAGTTTCATTATGGTGTACTAAAAAAAACCTAACAACAACAGAACAACAGCAGAACAACATTTGTTCGTTTGATGTATTAGCTTCTTCAGGCTGTATTTTAAAGATGCAATATGCTGAAACCTTAGTTCCTCAAATATGAAGGTTTCTTAGATAGACCTCTTGGCTTCTTTATCTTTTTCCTTCATATTAAAAGAAAATCTGAAAGGAGATTTTACCTGAGCATATTTAACACCATCTCCATGACAACCAGCTAATTAATCGCTATCAGTCTGGCTTTGGTCTTCTTCAGTGAACTGATACTCTCCAGCTTTTTTTCACATATCTTCTGTGTTTTCTGTGAAGGTCATTTATTTAGTGACATTATGTCTTTGGGAATAGAAGCCTTTTACTACAAGAAACAATTTTCTTTAGAGCACGTTAAATGTACCTGTGATTTCCTCTGTCTTTCTTCCTGTGCAGTAGTAGGGAGATTTTAAGGATAGGGTTTTGAGGATTTTTCCCTCTTCTTGCTTTTTCTGAAATTTCCATTTTTTCCTTTTGGGCATAAGGGTTCAGTAGTACATTATGACCGTGGCCACACTGCAGTACAGAAATGTCCAAGCTAAGTTTGCATTTAAAGAGTGTAGGAAGTAGGAGTGTGCCAAGGGTTCAAGTAGTTCCTTTGCTTCTTGGGATAGATTTGGCTGGTCTGTGTCTGTTGTTGCATTGTGCTAAGTATTCTTGCTTGCTTGTAAGTCACCGCCACACTAACATGCAGTCAGAGTTTCTGCAATGTTAGAGGTATTTGGAATCAATCAACATACTTGTCATGGCTACTGCACAACTTTTTACATTTATAAATTTGGTTACAAGGCCTGATAATAGTATTACTGTTGCAAGTAATTGCAAATTTTCCCCTATGACAGCAGTCTTCAGCCTGTGAACTGTAAGAACATAATGTCTATAGAACATAATGTCTGTAGGTGCTCAGAGCAGTCGTCCATATAGCTCAATGTCCTGTCATTCCTAACAGTCTCTCTCATAGAGGATACTTGTGTTAGACTGTAGGGGCAAGAGATAGGGTGAGGCCGTGCAGGATACTTTCCCCAGAACATTTTTCCAGTCTCCACCTGTCTGTGGCTAAAGAATTCAAAGTTTGCGCAGTAAAAAGAACGAAAGCTGAGCCCAGGAAAGAAAAGTATTTCTCCATCCTGAACACATCCTGTATTTTTAAGTTTTTGTTTTGTTTCTGAATGGCCATTCACTGCCTCTTACAAATTAAATATGTTTATATGTATAAATCTATACATATTATGTAAAATTAAGTATATCCGTCATTCCTGTAGTCTCCTTTTCACTGTTTACATGTTTACTTCCAATCCTTGTTTTCCTGTCATATCTCATGGATGTATTATTGTTTGAAGTTATTCCATATATTTACTTTTCAAGTGCCTTATTTTTTGCAGGCAGTTTGTGGGACACCTTAATCATCTATATAATTTAGTAGTATTCTAAAAGCTGGATATTTATGTTCAGGTGTAGTTAAGAACTCTTGAAGATTGAAGCAGTACATTAAAATAATTGCCAGTTGATTTGTGTTGAAAAGCAATGGAAAAATCTGTATTTTGACTGAATATTTTACATATTGTTGAAAATGAGAAATGCATATAACATGCTGTTAAACTGATTTTAACATGTGCAAAAAACTATAAAGAAAACAACAATGTTTAGTCAACTCCTTTATTTTTCTTCACATACATCAAGCAAACAAAACAGTTTCAGAAGGGTGAGATGAACTGGGAAGGGCTGGAAATAATTTTAGGTAGTTTCCTTCATTAGTTGTTTCTTTATTTTTTTTTATCAGTTTGTGTAAGAATGTATAACTGAAGATAATAGATATGGATCTTTTACATAATAAATTACTAAGGAGATTGATCTAAGCAGCTCTGAGCAGTTTAGTACTTGGGATTTGTATGAAGTGAAGTGGGGACAGGAAACTTGCACAGAGTGGGAGATGAGTTGAGCTGCAGAAGTGACCATGAAGATGGGAAGCACTTTTTTTGTGGTAGATTATGTCTACTCTGAACCATTTTCATTCAGCTACTTATTTGACATTGTAATATATCTGGATTTAGAATGACATATTAATGGTTTTCTCTTTTCTTCTTTGCCTTTTTTTTTTTTTTTTACTGTTTTGTTTGTTTTGTTTGTTCCTGACATGCTACTGAACTATTACATATGAAGATTGCTGTGTTCACTGTATCCTAGCTTGCTTGTTCTGTGAATTTCTCACCCTCTGTAACATTGTTCTGGGACAAGCATCCTGTGGCATCTGCACGTCGGAAGCCTGCTGCTGCTGCTGCGGGGATGAGATGGGGGATGACTGTAACTGCCCGTGCGATATGGACTGTGGCATAATGGACGCGTGTTGTGAATCCTCAGATTGCTTGGAGATCTGCATGGAATGCTGTGGGATCTGCTTCCCTTCGTGAAATATTTAACCCTTTCTATTTTATTCTCTATAAAACTGGAGAGCTTTTCTTTAAATACATTTGAAGAAAGACAAGGTAAGATTTTCACACTTGCACTGTTAATTCCCTATATATAAATATTTTTTTAAAATAGTAATCCTCAAATCTGTACTCTAACACAAACTGTATAGTTTTGTATGTGAAACTAGAGCTACATTCCAGCTTCCTTTTGGCTTTGCAAATGGAAGAGTTTATTGAAAGTGAATTATAGGCCTGATACTGCAGGCCATATGAAGGCAAAATTGCCATTTGAATTGAGTGATAGGTTTTGGTCAGAGAACAGACTGCAAGGCAAAGCCTTAAGTATTTGCCTTTACCTACTTTAATGTTTAAACACTCAAATGCTTCCATGCATAACATGCCTTTACAGGCATACTGAAAATCAAAATATTTTTATTTCTCTCTCTTTGGGTTGAAAGCAACTTTGCTCTGTTGTTTTAAACTTAATTTACAAGCCAGCATCAGAAATCTACCCTTGGTTTTGCTACAGTGATCATGTTGGCAATATGTCTTTTGTTTTGAATATCTCATTGATTAGAGAGAAATTCCATTGCTGAGCTTATCTGACAATCTGCAGTCAAATATAAGTTTTGCCCTGGACTAGAAGAGTACCAGGATCTCTTTGTCATGAATGAAGAAAGAATAGAGACCTTATAATTTTAGTTCAGTACAATTATTACTTGAAATGCTTTGTCTTAGAAAGAGACTTTGGAAATCTGTGTAGACATGAAATATATCCTTAGAGTAACAAATTAATAGACTAACAATACTTCAAAAATTGGCTATAAGAGGAAAATTATTAGAAATTAACTCAAGAATCTAAACCAGTTCATGAAGTGGCCTGGTCAGTGTTTGTGGCATTAGAGCCTGTGTCATATAACTGAATATTTATTTCTTTGCAGTGTAAGAAAGATCTACAGAGGGTAGCAGAATTTATATAGGGTATAAAAGTAAATTAAAACTGACTTGATCAAGGAATTCTGTCATCAAATGCAAAAAGCAAGTGAAAAATGTTTATTTTCTGATACATTTTAAATGTTATTTTTAAATAACTGTGTAAGAAAAGATAATTTTTAAAATATATGCTTTAAAAATAAAAAAAAGATTGGTATTTAAAATGTTTGAAAAATACAGTTAGGATCTGTTGGACCTAACTGTATATTCCCTATTACACCATTAAGGCTTTCCAAGAAGTATGTCTTTTATAATTGTGATTGTGGAACACATAAAGAGGTTTATGGTATTCCCAGATTTAGGGTATCAAAGTACCCATTTTCTTTATAATCTGGTAATTTCTCCCCTCCATGTCTGTAGCTCATGAACTTTCCTGTGTAAACCACCCATACATCTTGATCTCACAAACTTTCCTGTTTACACTACAGATATTCCAATTGTAGAGTGTAGATTTCCTAAATTCAGTCCTTGTTACAAGAATCATCAATAGCCAATAGCACGTGTGTTGAGTGAATTGGCCATAAATGTCTATTTCTACTATAGTGAATTCAGTTTATACAAATGTGACGAGCTAAAGATCATAGGAGTGTGAAGCTAAGTCGACAAATGGTCTGATATTAACCAAAGCTTCTTCTTGTGAACACTGACTAGTAGTGCCTACTACTGCAAGTTATCACTGAAGCCGAATCCTTAACTATACTAGGGAGCTGGGAAGTGTTACGTTTTGCCTTAGCGTATGCAATAGTGTGGTATATTCTCATGTAATGCAGATTCACCCTCAGAGGGTTTCCTAATCTGTTTTTGATAGTTGCTACAAGTATTATTCTTATTTTGGGTTTGTTTTTTTTTTTCCCTGTGTACTGGGCCAGATTCTGATCTTTATTGTGTAAACGAAGTGCATTTCCATTTCATGTCAGAATTTTCTATTGGTTAAATTCCAGTTAGAGAGCACAAAAATATTATGGTAATAGGCAGGCTAATAAGGAATAATATAGTTAAACTGATAAATCCCCAGTGCTCAGAATCAGGCTCATGGGGCTCAATTATGACTCCTAAAAGGCTGAACCACATTGGGAAGGGGGGAAGAGGTGCCTTGGTTGAGTGGCATTGCCTGGAGGCATTTTGTCTTTGTAAGGCATAATGCCTCTGGGGAAATTGGGGGCATCACAGTGAGCATTGGGACTCAATGCACCTTGGAAAAAGTCTAGACAGTACTTTGTCCATTGTAGGTCTGTGGTTGACACCGTGGTTGTGGTAACATGTTCTCTGGGGCTAGACAGCACCATGAACTATCTTTCCTCATGTCCTTCTGGTCACAGAGAGGTGAATTATGGCTATTTCTTGTCTGATTGTGCTTTCGGGACAGGGAAGGGGACTTCCAGTCTCTTGTCCTGCCCCGATATCCATGCCCTGCTGGAGCAGTTCCAGTTCTGTGCATGGAAAATTCACATTTGTGTATCATGCTTTTAGTGAATGCTAGATCTTACTAAAAATTATTTTTACAGGTTGATACGGTTTAAAAAAAAAATACCTATCTGGAGAGCTCTTTTCTGTAAAAGTTATCTATAGAATTTGCCCTGCACAAACCTTGTTTCTACTTACTGGAACTTAGTGGGTTTTTGATTTATTGAAATTATGAAAACAATAATTACAAGAATTTTGTTCATGCATATGTGTATATACTTTTTCTCACACACATGGACATACACAGATATGTCTTTTCCCACTGTATTTGTGAAATACTAGGAAGTGAAAATAGTGTTACTAACTTCATAATGATTAGAAGTATCATAGTATTACAGACAATTGAAAAAATTAAAAGTTGTGTATTTTGTTTGACATTTAAATGTAATCTGCTACTGTTTGTCATAGAGATATTAGCACTTTTGAAAAATGTATCTTTGTAGCAGAGAATATTAGCATGTAGTTTAAGCAATTCCTTTCTATATTTATATCCTTAAATTCTGTTTTGTAATTTTCACTCTATAATCTTATAAGCACCTTGTGTAATAAAAAAAAAGCAAAATTAGAAGTCAAATGTGAAAATAGAATTTAAATAAAATGAAAACCTTAGAACTGAATTGTCTATTTTATGATAGTTCTTGTGAACTTGTACAGTGTTTCAGTTTATAGTTCTGCAAACTGGCCCATTTGAAAAACATGCTGTTTGTATTTTGTATCAATTGGAAGTGCTATTTGCAAACACTATTTTGAAATAAAGATCTTTATTTTGAAACTTTTGGATGTCACCTTCTTCTAGTCTTGCCTTGTTACTCCTCTGAAGAATAATTTAATCTCTTTTTGTGTTTTTCCTTCTGCTTTAACCCGTCTGAAAGGTGTTAGCCTTTGGGTGACCTGCACAGAGAGTGAAGTCTTACAGGTGGAGCTCAGCCAACTCAGGCACTAGAAGCTGTGCTAGCATGAACCTCCAGCAGTAAAAAAGTTTGTAATTAAGAGGGAAAATTCATTCCTTGATTAAATTGGATTAATTAGATGAAATTCCAGTAATGATTAAATTTTATCAAAATGAAAGTTATTTTAATACATCCACAGCAAGTCTTCAGTTTACGAAAAACAAGCTGAACCAAGAGGGCAATTAGTTCTTAGTATTCATATGATTTTTTTTTCATCTATACCCCTGTAGAAGGTTAAAAAAAATTGCTTCTCTGGCCATTGCAGAGGAAGGATGATAAAACTGGCAGAAATTGTGTTTGAGTGTGTGTCATGAAGTCTTGAGTTGAGACTGTGCACCAAAATAATCGCTTTAGTAAAAGAACTGATAAACACAGATAAATAACATCATTTGACATCTATTTTAGTTGGTTTACCAGTATCCATAATACATAAGATTCCTAGAGAAAAATGGCTCCTGTGAAGAAGGATCAGGAACATTCAGGAGCTTTTGGATTGAATAATGGCTTTATTTTAGTCGTAGTTCTCATGTAAAGAACTGTGTGTTGACTTAGATGAATCACTGATTTTGTAATATTCTAAATGAGAAGCTTCTGAACTCATCACACACTTAGGCTTTTTTTTTCACATTATGCAACAATGGTTGCAATATTTGATGTATGTTCTTGGAAAGCAGTGCCAATTTTATTGATGAACCTCCATTATAAAGCTTTTATTGTCTCCAGTCTTGTAACTTTCTGAAAGGTAAGAGATCATAGAATGAATGATGTATCTGAAATCTTACTCTTGGCCCCAAAATTGAGTTAAATATTAGAGAAATATCTCCCTAGTGTCTTGTCTTAGTCTGTGAGTGCATACACCGTGTACTGGAAAACTCCACATTGTGTTGATGGTGACAGTAGTAGCTCTAGAATCCTACAGACATTAATCTTGATTTTTCCCTTACCTTCCAAACCTTTTGCCAGCCCTTAGCACTTCCAAAGAGAGCAAGGAGACCTTAACTCAATTTTAACATTGAAAGAAGTTCAGTAAAAATAATGCACCACACTCACTTCCAAGATGCACTTGTTGACTCAGTGCACTTGAATGTGAAGTTGATTGCTTGTACAAAGTTTAGCCTACTCTTAAACACTTGCTTATGCTATTTAACAGTGATTTGGTATTAGTGTCATAAAAGAATGGGTTTTCGCTCCTTTAGAAATCTTTAATATGATGGGCTATTTCTACTATACTTGGAAAGAGAATGTTCTCTGAATTACCATTCTGCAAAACAGGCAGATGTTTAATGTGATTAGATGTTCTTAATGTCTTTATGATCTTTAATTATAGGTTCATAGAATGCCTTGGGTTGGGAGGGATCTTAAGCATCATATGGTTCCAACCCACTTGCCATGTGCAGGGGCAACTTCAACTAGACCAGGTTGCTCAGAGCCCCATCCGATGCCTTGGGTTTGAGCTTTTATAGTTTTTAGATTCTCTGCTGCTTAAAGTGTAACTCTGAAATTTCATATTAGGTGTTAGTAAGTTCTTTTCACAGAGACAAAACAATCTCTTGCCAGCAAGAGAATCAAGGACAACTGGTACTCAAAAAGCATAAACAACAGCAAAGGGTAGGGGCAAGCCAGGGGCTGAAACTTCATAACCTGGAGCTGCGATTGGATAATTGACCACAATATGTAGATGAACCAAAACTTATAAAAGTGTAAAAATTCCTTACTGTGTTCCATCTTGGATTTGACTTGGTTGTAGCCCCAGCCGGGCTCTTGCACTGCCCAAAGTGTATCCTTTCAATAAATACCAATTTTATTCCGTTTGCCCTGTCTGGTCTCTGTTCCAGGTCAGCCTTTCCAGGCACCACATCCAACCTGGTTTTGAACACTTCCAGTGGTGGAGCATCTCCAACTTCTCTGGACAACCTGTTCTAGTGCCACATCACCCTCACATTGGGAATTGCTTCCCGATATCTAATCTAAACCTCCCCTCTTTCTGCTTAAAGCCATTCTTCCTCATGCTGTCATTGACATGACCTTGTAAATGGTCTCTCTCCATTTTCCTTTAGGCTCCCTTCAGGTAACTGGAAGGCTGCAGTTAGGCCACCCAAAAGCTCTTTCTTTCCAGGCTGAACAATTCAAATTCTCCTATCAGTTCAGCACACTTAATAAAACACTGTGTACATTCCTGTTTTCTTATTTTATGTACACATTTTATAGCAATTGTTAGTACATTACCATTCAGTACTCATAAAAATGGAATGTAAGATGAAAGACTATATAATACCTTTAATATATTTAATAGTGCCTTACTGATTTTTATTCTGATATGCATATGCTATTTTAACTGACAAAATACTCCACTCTAATTGGGGCTCTTTAT